GGCGGCGGCTTGGAGGTGCCGGGAGGTGGGAGGCAGCGGGTAACCCCGGGGCGATGGGAAGTGGTTTGGGACAGCTGGAGAGGGGCTCTCGGGAGAGAGGCGAGAGGGCAGGGGACAAAGGAGCTGCGCGCGCGGGCGGTCACCCGGACTGGGGGTGCTCACAGCACCCCTCGTGCGGCAGCAGCGCGTGGGCCTCGGCCGTCCCCCAGTGCCTCGGAGGTGAGCGAAGGTCAAGTCAAAATGCTTATGTGCCTCTAGCACCCCATAGCTGTTTGCAGGGAGAGACTGGGCAGCACCTACTTTGCAGAGCAAGAGCAATGCTTTCCGACTCAACTGCTAGGCAGGCTCTGTTTTTAAAATACAGATCTAAACTGGGCCTTCTTCAGTCTGTGGCCCAATTATTACAACACTTAATTTAAATATCCCATTAACTTATATTTTCAGAGAGAGTGGTATACACTGAATTTGGAAAGTCATGGTGCATTCAGTTTTCTGATAATATGTTCAAAGCTGACATACAAGCTGTAATTAAGACATTTCTGCTATCAGTCCGAGGCATAAGGTACTGTCAAGGTGATGTTACTAGCTTTAGTGTACAATGAAACATCAAGAAAGTTGCTTGAATGTATCTTAAATTTAAAAAAATAATCAAAAAGTCAATCCCACTTGCAACACTGACTTCAATTTTGAGATGTCTTTAACAAAATCTCACCAAATAAACCTATTTTTCATCCCCAAATCTTTTAAAAGGAGCTTGCATTCTATGAAGGATTTCCTTCGAAATAAACATGAGAATTTCTTATGTTTACAGACACACCTTTGACAGATTTGGTAGGCTTCATTTTAATTTGCATTCCACGTATTATTCTACAGGCAGAAGGGAAAAAAGCCCTCAGTCAAAATCAAAGAAATTGCCCATTCCTGCAGCTGATCTCTATCACTTACTAAAGGCAGCTCAGCTGGGTCTTTGAAGGGATTCTGGAGTCTGGTTTTGAAGGCCTGTACCTATATCCTTATCTGCAGATACACAGAATTTGTAGTCAGTGGAATACTGCCGTCAGTGAAGGTATCCACACGGGTGCACATGCTTATTTATGTCCATTAAGTAGTTCCACAGAAATAACCCGTCATAAAATTAAGCAAATACCTGAAGACTGGATATCAGTGTTCTGAATGGCATGAGAGAAAAGGGAGTGAGAGTGAATTTACTGATGACAGATGCAAGTTTCACTGCCCAGTGCCCTACTGGGACACGTTGAGTGTTTACTGTCATCAGTGCAGTGGAAGAACTTAAATAGAAGGGAGGAGAATATGAGGTCAGAATTCATTAGGCAGTCTAGAAATCACACGCTCAGTTTTAAAACATTACTGCATGTTGCCTGATGCTAACATGAAGAGCTCTAATTTGCATGCACTTTTTCTTTCCTCATATCAAAAGCTAATCATATGGACAGAAACAATGCCCCGCTCCTCATTTGCTGTAGCAAACTGCAGAGCATGGCAGCCAGTGGCTAGTGAGGGTGAGGAAACATCTATTTCCATTGCCTTAGTAGGCTGCATGCCGTAGATGCAGCAGAGGAAGCAGGGAGGAAACTGGGGACAATAAATCCCAGTTTCAGTAATCAAAGCTGCCATTACTAAATAAAGGTTTTAAGTAAAAGGGACCAACGAGACTTGATGAAAACCAGCATAGGTGGTTGGATGGTACTTTTAGTGAGATATTGCCACATTTAAAGTGGAGGGCAGAGAGGACCTCTTCTACCTGGTCTAAGTCCAATATTTACATTCAGATTAGCATATGCCATTGTATAGTAAATGACAGAACACCTCCAATGACATTAAAGATTACAGTGTTCTAGCTACATACTTAAATTCTACCTACATCCAGGATTCTTCTATACTTTGTTCATAAAACTTACACGTCGACTTCCAATTCCATAGCTGGCTTTTATTCTAATATGTCTTTGACAGTGTCTGTAAAAGTTTTGCTGAACATGGAACTGCAGCTCGTTCGAAACATTTACCCAGTATCATATTCTAATTTCCAGTACAGGAAAAATAACTAAGGCTTCTTCATTAACTGAACTGCAGGAACAAGAACAGTCTGTTCTCTTCCACAGCTCAGACAAGTGTTGAATCACAACAGCAGTGGGCTGTTCTGCTGCTTAGAACTGTTGCATGGCTGAAACTCACACTCTGATTATTAGCTTGGAAGAGTGAGATAAGGACGAGTAAACATTTCTGCTCTGGAATTATGGATTGACACAAATGAAAAGAAAAATCAGGATGCAGGATATGGACAGAAACATTTACAGATATGTTACGGGTACTCAGTCTTAGCCAGGAACCAAGAGAATGCAGTTACTTGCAAGTGGGACGTTGATGGCAGTGTCATTTCAGTTGTTACTTATTCTGATAGGTCACTGCCCTGCAATTTTCTTTAACCTGAAGTTAGTATTTTAGCAGTTAAAATTACTGTTCACATAGCTTTAGTCAGCGTATATGGCATTATAATCACCTCCAATTCATTTTACTTTTGTCAGAATCTGTGCTAAACCTCCCAGCTTTTCTGGATTTCTCTTTTTTGGATCTACAGTTTAATCTGAGTTAAATGATGCAACAGAGCTCTGCTGCTACAAATTCTCTGAATCTACGGTAACTGTTAAAGTCTGACAATGTTCTGTTAATGTTTTAATTAAGTTCAAGAGTTTTCATAGTGCTGAAAAGCTCAGCAAAAGAGCTGGGATTAGAATTCAGTCCTCTCAGTGCAACTCCTCCCTGCTCAGACACATGTAGTCTCACCCTTGTCTGTCACTGCTATTACCTTCTTCCGACTGTGACACCTTGGCAAAATATGTTGCAGTGACTTACTGTTGTCTCTCTATATTTTTACTTGTCACTGGGATCCAGGAATAAGACTCTGCAGATGGAAAAAATAAAGGCACGACTGAAAGCAGAATTTGAAGCTCTGGAGTCTGAGGAGAGGCACCTGAAAGAATACAAGCAGGAAATGGACCTGCTGCTGCAAGAGAAGATGGCGCACGTGGAGGAGCTGCGACTGATCCATGCTGACATTAATGTGGTACGCAACAGTCCGCCTGCAGACAGCCTGACTAAGACACAGATGTACAGCAACCATTCCACAGCTTGTGGAATTGTGCCCAGCCGTGAGCTATCCCTGGGTCAGTAAGCTGGACTTTACAGCACCATCCCAGGATCCTGCAAAGAGTGTAAAGTAAATTTACCTCAGGATAATTGTTTTTTTTCCTGTCTGTGGGCAGGATATTTTTGTACTGTTGGCATAGCAGGCATTTGCACCAAGTGGACAGAGCCAAACGCACTGTAGCTACATTACCAGTGGCCACAGGAGCATCACTCTGGCAGTCCCACAGGAAACTGTTCTTCCTGTTAAGTCTTTTCTCATTTAGCACCTAGAAACAGAGAAACTTTGGCAGCTCAGTGGGACTTCGGATTGGAGGGTTTTGGAAGAAAAGAAATTTTGGGAGAATATATGGTATTTGTTGAGTTCTTAAGTAAGAGCTGCCCTTCATCACTGAGGGGAACCACCAAACATTAAGAAGCATCAGCTTGAAGGGAGCTAATACAAGTAAGAGAAAACCAGTTTATAAACAAGGAAGCCAATTAGAGGGGCTGAACAGGAAATACATTTTTAAACCTGCAGTTTTTATGTCATGTTAGGGCACTTATGTGACTGTACAGTGGTTTCGAGCTCTGAAGGTTTCTGTGCTTTGCACCAGAAGAAAACAACTTCCACACTGTAAGCAAGCATAAACTACATACTGGATGACTGCATTTATCACTTGAAACATCTGTTCCCCTACCAAGCTGCGTAACCTCAGTCTCTGTTTCATCCTCCCCTCTTTTTCCTGCCAGGTTGTCGTTTTCTCTGCTGCTTTTCCCGTTTACTGCTGTAAGAGAAGCAGAAACCTTTCCTTAACTTCTTAACTTCTAACCATCAACCTTAGAAACACAGCAAATGAGTTTATTCTACTTGAATTTCTTTTTCAGTGTCCCTTGAGAGTTTTCCATAGCTCCTCACTTACTGACTTACCTGTAGCCTGTCTACCTGCTTTTTCTTTGGAGAGGGACTTTTTACAAGGGCCTGTAGTGACAGGACAAGGGGTAACGGGTTTAAATTGAAAGCGGGAGATGTAGATTAGATATCAGGAAGAAGTTCTTCATGGAGAGTGTGGGGAGGCACTGGGACAGGTTGCCCAGAGAAGCTGTGGATGCCCCATTCCTGGAAGTATTCAAGGCCAGGCTGGATGAGGCTTGGAGCAACCTGGTCTAGTGGAAGGTGTCCCTGCAGGGACAGGGACCGGAAGATCTTTAAGGTCCCTTCAACCCAAACCATTCTGTGATTCTGTTGTTCAGAAGGTCAGATAGGTTTGAGTGCACCTTTTTTAAATGAAAATGCATGTCACACTCAAGTTGCTTCTTCCTGTGTCAGTTTTCCTCCTCCCAGTATCTTAACTCTTCGTTTTACTATTGCATTGTCTCCAATCTCTTCCAACTTGAGTAAAAAAATCTCTTCTGATAGTCTGTTGCTCAATCAGAGAGCTATTAAAGGAACACTTCTTCAAAAGCATGCCCATCCTCCTGTTTCAGATGGAGAATACTATCAAGCAGTCTGAGAATGATCTCAACAAGCTCTTGGAATCTACTCGTCGCCTGCATGAGGAATACAAACCCCTGAAGGAGCATGTAGATGCTTTGCGAATGACGCTGGGACTGCAGAGGCTGCCAGATCTATGTGAGGAGGAAGAGAAACTGTCTCTTGAGTAAGTCTCCAAAGCAAACATTACCTGGCTTTATACCTTTCTTGATTCTATTGGTTATTTTGTCATTTTACTTTTATTGGTAGGTGGAACAAAGAAGAGGTAAGCATGAATCACAAAACTTAACAATAAAGGGATGTGGGAGCACATGTATTTGATAACCTCCAACAAATTCAGGCTGAATGTTAAATTTAGATTATTCCAAGCTGCAAACTCCACATGCAGAAATTCAAGGGTGGCTGGTTCTCTAGATTTTTGTACCATATGCTGCTTTTTCTAGCAAGACTTTTTTTTTCCTGACTTTTTTTTCTTCTTTAGCAAGCAGAGATAGGAGGCAATACAAGAAAGAGATACAAAACAAGTATTCTTCTGATGGTTTGTGCTACTGCTAGACAGAATTTTGCTTTCTGCTGCATGCATGTGGCACTGGCATTTAGCCATATACTTGTGACCGTCAATAAGTAACTTACTCTTGATGTGGAATGCATTTGGATAATAAATTAGTTTCATTTTTAGCTATAACCTAGGAGGGCCAGGGTGACAGAATCAGCTGCTGTTCAAAGAACAGTGTGCTTTGCTTAACAGACCAGTTTTAAATGCGAGTGATGTTTTAAGAAACTTACATTCCTCGTAACGCCCTGTGCATTTGGCATCATTTTCAGACACATGGTTTTCAAGATTTCCTTTGCATTTCTTCATAAATGCCGTTTTCCATTCCAAGTATCTTGATGCTGCAAAGAATGTATTCCTCTATTGTGTGCAAAAGTTATTTGTTTTAACAGAATAAAATATAAAACCTAAGTTTGACAGAGGTGTATCTGAAGCTGTTAAAGATTAAACATGTATGTTGGTATTTTCCATCCTATTAGATTTATATCCAATTGTACATCAAGATGCCTTCGAAGCTGACAATCTGGAATCTGGCTGAAGTGTTCAAATGCAGAGGAAAATATTACCAATTCTATTTATGAACTAGTCCAAGTGGTGTCTAAGCATAGGCAATTTGACTCTACTGGAGGAACACAATAGGGAAATGTGATCCATTATATTTTAACACAAAATATCCTTTACAAACTATTGGAATACTCCAGAAGGTGGTTATATTTTGTATTTGTTTTTCTTTTGCCTAGCTATTTTGAAAAGCAGAAAGCGGAATGGCAGACAGAACCACAGGAGCCTCCCATCCCAGAGTCTCTGGCTGCTGCAGCAGCGGCTGCCCAACAGCTGCAAGTGGCTAGGAAACAAGATACCAGACAGACAGCAACTTTCAGACAACAGCCACCTCCAATGAAGGTCAGGAGATGCAATGCACTGGGTTTTCTCTTTTGTCACTAGAACGTATTATGTTTATAAAGTCGATCAACATTTACAGAAAGGAAAAATTATGTGTCCTGATTCTCATTTTTCCTGCAGTGGTTCAGATCAAGAGCAACCCCAGTAGAGTTAATATAGCAGCACCAGTCATTAAGGGTTAAGGACAAGGCTCTGTATCGTTTGACTCCTTTATGACTTAAGAGTCAGTTAGCAGAGATGCAGGCAATTCCCACTCCTCTCGTGTTTCATGTGGGAGAACGGCGTGTGAGGAAAAAGAATATGCTGGGCAAAAGAAAAACTAATAGCTGGGAGTTAATCCCAAATGGATTCACATTAGAACCAATGCACATATTACACGAGGGAGTGTAATTACTGGTGGTAGAAATTACCAGGAATGGTGATTGTTTCTGCACTTCTTGGGATCTTCAACTCATGACAGCCTATGGATTAACACACCCTAACCACAGGATATATACTCAGCTCCCTCTGTAGTCAGTAAAAAGAGCGCAGTGATTCTATGGGGGTACTCATCCCACCCAAGTTCCAAAGACTCACTGAGTAAGGAGGCAAAATGGCATCAGTACACTCTGTAGTTACATACTTACTATCTGGAGTTATGCCATTGGAAAGCCTTTCTGAAGTATTATGCTTCAGTCAAATGGAAGTTACAGGGCTTAGTATGGAGCAAAAGGACAAGAGTTCTGTTTCTTGTGTTGAATATATGGAGTTCAGCTAATCACTGATCCTGCCTTGAATTCTGTGGCATCACAGTTGGCCTCCACTGTAACTTCTCTGACTCAGTGAGCTAGTACACATGTAAACACCTTTAAAACATGGAACGTTTAACCTAAAATAGAATTTAAAGTTATTGATACATGCCTGAACCATGTGTCTGCTGAACTGCAGTTTCAGTTCCATGAGATACTCCAGTTCTTCAGTTGCCCTGAAGTTACTGTACGATCCAGAGACCTGGATCATATAGAATGTAGCCTGTCTGCCTTTGAGGGCAAGAAACCTGAGTTGTTGTTTTCTGTGCTGTAACTTAGAATATGCCGCTCAATAACCTGTGTAACACCACCACTTAACGTTTGTAACAAGAGGCCGCAATGTCGCATTTCAGGCGTGTTTATCATGTCACCAACAAATTCATCGGAATGCGCCCATATGTCCACTCTGCAAAGCGAAGAGCCGATCTCGGAATCCTAAAAAGCCCAAGAGGAAACAGGATGAATGAAACCCAGAAGGTGGACAAGCAAACACGTGACCTGTTCCAGTACTCTTCCAGCAGAACTGCAAATGTGGCCAGACTTTACTGAAGTGCAGACTCAAGTATGACCCACCCGTTGTTTTCTGTTTCATGCAATGTAAGCACAATGTCCCTGTTCTGTCTTAATTTCCTTCCAGTCTTTATGATTTGGTTTTAGGAAAGTAAGTATTACTGGTGCTACAGTTTAACATTTCAATCATTCCACCTTTTGGACTCCTAAACCAAGTAGAATGCTTTGCAAGTATTCTAAACGTCAGGCTATTCCTACTGGCCAAATGTGATTACCAGAAATGCTTTTATATTCTTTTTCTAAAAACAGATGTTTCTAAAAGATTATTCTCTTTTCTACTGGTAACAGGAGACTATTTGGAATGCTGAAAAAACCGGCTGTCTGTTTGTTTCACTAAAGAACAATTTGTTTTCCAAGTTAGTAAGACTGCATAGGTTTGGGTATCCAGTAGAGCTCTTTTCATCCAGAGGAATGTTCAGGGAAAAAAGAAATAGGTTATACAGGAAATCAGTGCGTTAAAGACATCTGTGAGTTTTGATTTACTGAAGTTTGATTGTACCATTCCCTCAAACTTGACTTAAAATTTGGAAGGGGATCGAGTTGCTGGCCATGTATGAATTTCTAAAAATGATGTAATTTGTGATGCTTTAACATCTTAATATGGTATTATTTTCAGCAGTCTGAAGTCCGGGTGACTTAAGTAGAAGGCTCAAATGAACACCATTAGTGGTCCTCCCAGGCTCTATGGCCAACCAGCTCACTGTGGTTCTCTAGGAAACATGCATGAAGGATCCCAAATCTCTGCGCTCAGACTGCAACATCACCAGTTCTGCACGTTTTCTATTCCTGGTTTCTACAACCAGAATCTCCCCCTGCAGACATATCCTCCACTGGAGCACAGGGAAGTTTGGTAACATGCACCAGTAACAGTCACAACTAAAAATGATGTATTTCACCAGAACTGCCTGGCTTCGGTGTCATTGTCCTCCCTCAACCAAAACTTCCTATTTTTTCTGTCTTTTAGCAGGTCAGTTACAAGCTTTATTTCAGCCCAGGTTTTTTCCTTGCTCTGGCTGTGTGCCAAAAGAACCCTGACTAATGCATCCCTTAGCTCACTCCTTGTACCTGCATCTTCCCTTTGTTTCAGCTCATATGACAGCAGTTTTATGACAGTTACATGCTCCAGCTGGAGGATGGCAGTGACCCAACTACACAGCCGGGGCTTAAAATGTACTCATTTCTAACCCCGCTTGTGTCACCGCCTGTCTTGTCTAAATTGATCTCAAATAATCTTGTCACTAACTTCAGGAGGCAGGGACTGCCTGTTTATATTCTTCTCTCTTTAGCCTGGATCTTCCTCTACTGTTATGCTGGAGTGGTTATATGGAGAGCTCGGCTTGTTAAACAGGAAGAACAGGGAAGCCCCAAGCCTCTGTCAGAACTCTGAGAAATGCTGGGGACTGTGCAAATCCACATAAACCAATTTTGTTGGCCAAACCACACACGCTGCCATTGATTTCCCAACTCCGCCATAAAGTACGTATTTTATTGACTATAGTCTGTAATTTATGCCCAGTTCAGTCGGTATACTCCCACTTAAACATTTCATGGCCAAATAAACATCTGTTAACATCAGAGACAGAAGGTGGACCAAATGCCCCTGCAAGTACGTGAAGAGCAGATTCTGCTAGCTGCATTACTGGGGTTCAGCCTCTGTAAGTGTAATACGGAGGGCAGTCTGACCCCATGCTACAGAGGGCAGCACTGTGCTGATCTCCTGACACAAACGCCGGACTCTACTGTGAAACGTCAGAGCAGCCACATGCTGTGTGTCCTGTTCTGAGCAATTCCTCCCCAGTTTAAGGGGAAATGCACACAGAGTTAAAAGACAGTATATGGACTCCCCCACGTGCATGCACGAGAACACAGTGCTTTGATGACACTTGTATATAAATCTAAGTAGCGACAACAGAGAATGGGCCTATGGTCTGCAGTGAAGTAGCATGAATAGGCGGCTAGATCTGTAGAAACTTCAACTTGCAGTTCTGAAACGGACAGGGTTAGTAGTACCTGCTCTCACGTCAGTGTTCTTTGCCACCTTCGTTCTTTCTTGGGAGATCTCAAGCTCTAAACTGAAGTATGCTTAAGGATACACTGTTTACTAATTTAGTACGGCCGTTTTGTATTTTTACTTTTTTAAACTAGTCTCTTGTGCCCTCGTGTTTAGCAATGCTTGTTTGTAAAAAAAAAAAAAAAAGTGAATATGACATACTGTGTTTGTATCAATCATGTACTAGTATTTACAAATCTATTTTCACATCCTTTACGAAGTTCTGCTGTAGGAATAGCGTGCGTTGCCGAGAATGAGTCTAGTTGAACGTGAGTCAACAGCACGCCCTGGCAGCCGAAAGGGCCGTGTCCTGGGATGCATCGAGCACAGCATAGCTAGCCAGTCGAGGGAGGTGACTGTCCTGCTCTACACCGCACTGGTGCAGTGTAGAGTACTGCGTGCAGTTTTGGGTTCCTCAGTATTAGTGTGTCCAGAGGAGAGCAACCAAGATGGCAAATGGTCTCAAGGGCAAGGCTCATGAGGAGCAGCTGAAGTCACTTGGCTTGTTCAGCTTGAAGAGAAGGCCAAGGGGTGACCTCATCACAATCTACACCTTCCTCAAGGTGGGAAGCAGAGGGAGAGGTGCTGATATCTCTCTGGTGACCAGCAATGGGACACGAGGAATTGGAATAAAGCTGTGTTAGGAGAAGTTCAGACTGGACATTTGGAAACAGTTCTACACTGAGAGGGTGGTTGGTCACTAGAACTGGCTCCCTAGGGCAGTGGTCACAGCACCAAGCCTGCCCGGGTTCAAGTTCTCTCAGTCATGTGGTTTAGTGTTAGGCAGTCCTACGAGAAGCAGGGAGTTGGACTCAATCCTTATGCGTCCCTTCCAACACGAGATACTGTGTGATTCTATGATTCTGTTTAAGGACACATGTATTACGTGTTAAGGGATCCTGGGGGGGAGGGGAGGGAAGGAAGCAGTGTCTTTCGTAGGAAACCAGTATTCTCCTTTTCTCCCACAAATTAAGGAAGTTTAACTGAAGAGCTCTTCTTGTGACATGCCTGAGCCCTTTTCTTCCTTTCTCAAGAGACTAGAGGGATAAACAGTGATTTCTTGGTTTTTAGTCAGAGGAGCAAGCTGCCTGAAGTACAGTTCTTACCACAAGCCATCTGCATTTTTGCTCTGTGGAGCAACAATGGCTTCTTCCTTTGTACCTAAGGTTCTTTGAGGATACTTATGAACTTGGTTTAAATTCATTCTTATTTGGGTTAAATTCTCTTAACAGCCACAAAAAGACCCTTCTCAAAGCTTCAAAAAATTTTACATTACACAAGTCTGCTTTAACCCTGGCTTTGTCATTCCCTTTTCAATAGGTATTCAAGCAACAACAAAATCACTGGATTCTTTTGTTATAGGTGGTTTCCAGGATCTCTTCCTGGTTCCTCACTTGCCTCAAAGGATAGTCCTGTCCTTCTGCAACCAAATGGCAACACCTATCACAAGCCTCTCCCCCTGCCCCCCTCTTACACTCATGTTAAAAGGATGCAAACGCTCTACTATGCCTAAAGGCTCTGCTATAGATTTTTGTACCCAAGCTGGGGTAGATCAGTTGTTCAGACTTCAGTGCCAAGGACCCAATTAACTCTAGAGAAAAGGTAAGCCAAATTTTAATACTTGCACTTCCTGAATTCAACTTCAGCGTTCTAAACAGCACACTGACTGAACCTGCCAGTGGCTACAAGTTACAGAATCTAATTATGAAAGAACAGCCATTGATGTGTTACTCTCAAAAGCAGACTATTCAAGAAATTAAGACTTTACTAGCACTTTAGATTAAAAAAAAAAAAGTGCTTTCCTTTATTTTACAGTTTTCTAATTCCTCCAACATAGGTTTTCATTTTAGCATTTAGGTATTTTAGTAATATCTAGTGTTTCCACTGGCTTCTGTGTCTTAAATATTTTACTCCTGTGCCCAGTAGGAGTTAACAGTGTTTGTCTGTACAGTCCTTTTTAATAAACGTTTGTTTCATGTCATGCTTTCTTCCTGCAGAGTACTTTCACATCTGTTATCTGCTTATGCTACTGAGAAGCAGCCATATCCCAAAAGGGAGAACCCAGCTCTCTAATTTTACAGGATACCATTAGCCACAACTCTGTTACACCTTTATAGAAACTTCATGGAGATAAATATGGCAGAAGATCCATTCTACTGAGCTTTAGAAAACAGAAAGGAAAAGGAGACAGCAAGACAGGTTTTAACCTAGCCAAAATTCTCAGTCGTATTTGTGGAACACAAACCACTCTTTGCTCAAGCTCCAAGATTTCTGCATCTGCGTAATAGCTGTAGAAAGAGTGACTATTTCCCCAAGCCAGGTATTTCTGAAACAAACCTGTCCTCTGCTACCACTGGCTACTAACACTGGAACTGGATAGTTTGCATATGTAAAAATGCCCAATTTGCACTTGCAGGTGTCCAGTCATGAAACTCAAACAGACCCAGAAAAATAACAAGGAAATCATGTCCCTCTGCTGCAGTTCAACCCCTGGAAACTCTGACTGGTGTGTTTATTTCAGTCTCTGACTAACTCACAGAGCTTCAGCTTGAATTAATCCCCAGTCAATTTAAACTGGGCACACTGTTGGCTCAAAAACCCCCACTCTTAGGTGGGAAAAAGTCTTGCTCAGACAGGTTTCAGTTTAAAGACAAGTCATATCCAACACCTTCTGTCAGGTGCTAGATTGCCAAGACGCCAAAACCCAGATGTATTCTTCACAGTTCTTTTACTACTCAGGAACCTTCTGGGTTTTTTTCCCTACAGCAAGACATGATTCCTTCTGATTTAAGGTAGGGGATAGCTGTCTTCCAGAGTCCTGCTTTGCCATTAGGAGACACTGTCTTCTGCTAGTACTTGCTAGAAGTTACTTCTCTCAGTAAGCGGGTGACTGAGAAGCTTATGGGAGCAGTTCCTAACCCAGCCCTGTCAGGAAAGCCCACATACAATGTACACTGCCAGCAAAGGAAGTAACCTACTGCACAGGAATGAAAGCAGTTCTGAGAAATAACCTGCTCCATTGGCATACCTGGATTCAGGGAAGAATGTCTGTCCCGAACCATGCAGAAGTCAGAACCTGAGCCGGGTAAAATGTAAGAAGCATGATTTTTTCCATAGGTACTGTCTTCAAACACACACAAACCACAAAATCTAACGACTGCCCTAATCCTCCTTTGTACTATGACAGGTATTCCAAGATAAAGGAAATTATTTTGACTTCCGTTCGTTTACTGCCATCTGAATTGTTCAAACTTTGAAACACCCTTTGTTAACCTCTGTTCAT